AGAATTCTAACTTGAGCTTCAGAGCATTCATACCGGGTTCCCCCCTAGAGCTTCCTCATCTTCTCTGTTTCAAGCTCCCTGTAGCTCCGTTCAGAGGCAAGGTCATTGACATCTAGGACCAGCCGGATTGCGCACCATCAATAACTGTTCAGGTGGGAAGATAAAAATGAGAACATGTTTGAGAGCAAAGGGAGGACTAACGTCCGTCCCATTGGCTCATACATGAGAAGCTTGTAAGTGTGTTTTGAACACATGTCTCCACCTGATACTGTTGATAGAAGATCCGGACTCCCGAACACCGTCGCCGGGAACATCTTCCTATAAATGAAAAAGGAAGATATTTCCAATGTGCAACCGTTATGCCGTGTGGCTTGAGATGGGGAACAAGTAGTGGGTAGCAAGTCCGAGCCCACCTCACCTTGCTTTTAGAGCCCAATGGACGACCAGATCACAGAGCCCGTTATTTGAAGTGTTGCGAGTTTATATCGTCTACAGTTTAACTCTAATCTGGACCTAAAGTAAAACCAATAGAACACATCTAGAGGTATAAAGTGGGCGTGCCATTTTTCCCGGTGAAAATTTTGGGGGTTGGCCTGGCATGACCCACGGCCCACGGTTCAGGCCCGCGTGGGCCCGTATCGTGCCGCAGGTTGGGCTGGCCCGTGGGCCAAGCCTTGGCCCAAGTCAAACCATGGAAGGGGCCAAAGCTATTTTTGCCTATTTATTTAAAAAATTAAAAATTTTAATTTTATATGAAATTTAATGTATATAATTGCTTATATATATAATAATTAAATAAATTAGTATAATAAAATTGTACTAATATATTATATATTATATATAAATATATAAATAATATATATGGGCTGGGCTGTGCTGACACAGGCCGCAGGCAATACGACCCACTTGATCATGCCATGCCATACCGGCCCATGGACTTCAAACCCCAGGCCCAACACGTCACAAACCATCATGTCGGACCTGACACGGTCTGTGAGTTGTCGTTCCGTGCCGGGCCGCGGCCCGTCCGATTTATACCTCTAAACACATCAGCTTGGTGAACGTAGGTCCTGCTGCCTGCATAATGTATAATATCATGATTGGCTCAGCATTCTCCGGTTACGGAAGAGGATTCGAATGTCTGCCAACCACAAAATCGGACAGTGGTTACATCAACAGGTTGGCTAGCAACAACGCGGCACATATCGAACCGTTAATGTGTCGATCGTATGCTCTCCCGGTCCGGTCAGAAAGTAAAAGGTTTGAATAACTCGTACCAAGGAAAAAGGAAAGGAGGAGAGCCCAAAACATTCCGTGCTTGGTGACGAGTTCTGGTTGGGAGCAGGCATGGCGGCCACTAGAGTGACAGCATCAGCAGGAATGCTTCATCATGGCAACAACACTACTCTTCTTCTCAAACAGTCCTTCTCTGTAAGGCAGAGAGCTCTCAAGACCAATTTCAATGTCAATAGAACAACCAAGAGGCTCTTCACCTGCAAATCTCTTTACAAGCCCCAATTTCAGATCAAAGAAGAGGGTCATCCCGAAACCCTTGATTACAGAGTCTTTTTCCTCGACAAATCTGGCAGAAAGGTTCCTTGTTGTTTCTCGGCTTCGATGTTATATAATTTGTTCTTCTAGTCTTTGGTGCTATAATTTCCCAAGGGTTATTTTTCCGGAGTGTGGTTCTTCTTCTCATACGAAGTAGTACGGGTCTTATTTATTGACTTGGGTAACTTTGTATCTCTATTGAACCGTGGACTTCTGAGCGTTTCTCAAATTTGTAAACTAACCTCAAGTCCAGGTGTCTCGTTGTAATTGCGAGCACACTTTGGTCTAACCTTACTGCGATAGAATTCATTGCTTTTGATTAGCATTTGTGACAATGCTGATGGTTTTCTTATTCTTGATTGGTGGTTTGAGTTTTTGTTTTACTCCGTTTTATCCCATGGGTTTGTTCGTGTGACTGGTGGTTGGGGCGATCCAGGGAGGGAAATAAATCTTCCAAAACTTTATCTCTTTACTCTTTCAGGTTCAGAGTACTCAATTTGCATTGAATGCAATTTGGTCACTGACAGAGAGGGACAATTTAACTTGTAAGATTTTGGAAGGTTCAAAGTTAAAGTTTTGATCATGACAATCATTAATTACAAAGTTTGTTTCCTTAAAATAAAGTTATAAGCGTTTTCCTCTCTCTCTCTCTCTCTCTCTCTGTGTTTCAGTTTTGATCATGACAATCATTCTTCGTTTCTTCTTGTTTGTTATGTAGGTTTAAGCTTGTTGCTCAATACGAGTGTCTTGTTTTGGTTCTCGAGGATGAGACATTGGAGGTGAATACTTACTAACAAAGGAAGTTTTTACTTCCTGTGCAGGTTTCCCCTTGGCATGACATACCATTGCATTTAGGTGGTGGCATTTTTAATTTTATTGTTGAAATACCAAAAAATACAAGTGCAAAAATGGAGGTTGCTACTGATGAGCCATACACCCCCATAAAGCAGGATACTAAGAAGGGGAAACTCCGATACTACCCGTAAGTTTTATTTTTCATGGTGGTTTCATTAAATATCATCACCTCTTGGATGGACATAATGGTATTGTTGTTCATGTTGCAAAACATTTATAGGTTGGAAAGAAGTTTATAGGTTTCAGACTGGGTTTCTATTTTGCTTTTTTTTTTTTCATATTTTTCTAAAAATAGGTTGAATGTGATGCTATAATGTGTTGTCTCAATTCATTTTATCTGGGTTCACCATATCTGATAAGATATATTAACTAAGATCCCTTTTAAATGGGATCATAAAAAGGTGGGTGTCACCAACTGGAAGTTTACCTCTATATGCCATTGGTACACCACTTCTTTCCCTTTACCCATGTTTATCTTAGATTTCCTCTTTTGATTAGTTGGCTAGAGAATGTGGAATGAAAGGCATTCTTTTACTGAGAAAATGAGTGGTTATAGGTTTACAGCCTATTAGTCTTATTACTTGTTCTAGATGTATTCTGGGATTTTTACATCATTGTTTGGGTGCACGCAGACACATTTTTATAGGGTGTTCAATGGACAACTTTTTTGTACAGGTGTATGCACCGATGTTAAATGTTATACCAATTGCCTACCATGTCTCCCCTTGTCCACCATCATCCTCTGCAAAGCAAGGTTTTTTGCTTATCTTCATCCTCACTTGCACCTCCTTGTTAGTTCTAGCTAGGCAATTGGTACACCTTCCAAGGTTGGGCAAGAGAGCCATTTTCTTCTAGGGATGATTTCCCACCTGGTTAGCTTTTATTTTTTATTTTTTATTCTTTTATTTTTTTGGCTCTCTGGCCATTAGCTGCTCCTATTCTTCTCTTTGGCATCTTGTCCTGGGCAGATGTGCTTCACACTCGGGCCTCAAAAAATGGTTGGCATCTTAATCCTTGCTTACCTTTCCCCAAAAAGGAGAGACCCTGCTTTGTTAAATAGGGCACGCCCCTATTTGAAACACAAGAGACATTTGGATGAAAAATGATAAAAAGCATCTTCTTTAATGATTTTTATGGGCATTTTATACACACACATTGATGTTGAATGCTATTAAATGATTCAGAGTTGCAGTTGTAAAATGCATAAGTAGGCCATTAAACCCAAATCTGGATATATAACACTTATTTTTGAGAAAAAAGCAGAATAGAGGCTCAGTAACTGATACATGGAAAAAAATAAAAAAACCGTTGGATTTATCATCTATAGATCTACCTGATGTCTCTCATCCAAAATGGTTTATCCTGTTTAGAATGAGAATCATGCCATCATTCCCACCCAGGTTTGGAAAATGGTATCCACTTCTTTCTTTCACCATCCTTGGGGGGCTACAAGTATTGACCGGATCATAACTCTTTCTACTCCCCTTCTTTTCCCTTTAAGATGTTATTGCCTTATAAAGCATATTTGTGAACTCTTTCATTTTTCCTTTCTCAGCTACAACATAGATTGGAATTATGGATTGCTACCACAGACATGGGAAGACCCGTCTTTTTCAAACTCTGAAGTTGAAGGAGCATTAGGAGATAATGATCCAGGTATCATCAGTAAACTTTTATATTTCAACCCATTGTAATGTCACAAATCTCCATGCACCTTGTTATTTTCAATAAGAAACCAGCCAGTTAATCTTCCTAGTTGACTTCAATTTCCAGTTGATGTTGTTGAGATTGGGGGAACCCAGGGAAAGATAGGCCAGATTCTCAGCATCAAGCCTTTAGCTGCTTTAGCCATGATTGATGAGGGAGAGCTTGACTGGAAAATAGTTGCTATCTCATTGGATGACCCAAGAGCTTCTCTAGTCAATGATGTTCATGATGTTGAGAAACATTTTCCGGTAAACTTTAATGTTTTTCACTTACTACTGATATTTTGTACTTATGTTGGACTTAATATGGTGGAATATCTCCTTATTCCAGATGTCTTCTATATTCAAAATATTGCATCTGAACTTGTATAGTTTATCATTACGTACCAGTAAAGAAATGGTGTTACTTTGTTCAACTCTGCCAATCATGATATCTATTACCTTTTCAATAATGAATATTATACCTAGGCAATCAAGATCAGAAGTAGTGACATCCAGGATGGTGGGATGGGTAAGCATTGATGAAAGAACAATTAATATAGTTAATCCCCTAGCACCATATTGCATCCATTTATGTTTAAACTGGTCACAATTAATTCCAGTTCATATTACAGGTTAAAATTTTCCACTTATTTCATTCTCCCCTTCGTTTTTTGTTCCTCCCAAAAGTTTCAATTTCATTTCTTAATGTTAATTTCTTCATAATATGTCATTGTTATCAAAACAAGAAAATAAGAGGACAACGAATCCAATAGAACAGCTACTGACTTTTAGATATGATAAGTCGTTAATTCTTGTATGCCTCCACCCCATCTTCATTTTCCATGGTGGTGGTTCTACTTTGCAACTGGTTTGCTTGAAAAGGACTTGAAGTTAAGTATTTGGTGAGACTGTGCCATTTGGCATTTGAAGGGAGATTTTACTATTTTGTTTTTCAAGGTAAGTAAGATTTTATAGATATAATAAGGTTGCACTCCAAAAACAAGTGCACTGTTCAATGTGTAATACTAATTTACCATATGCTGTAAAACAAAATCAAGAGGAAATTAGAGTTAGATATCCTTTTTTTTTTCTTTTGAAAAAGGTAAAGTAATTTTATTCAAATATCAAATAGAAAATAGCACAACAGATCTTCAGGGGGCAACCCTACAAACTTGGTGTTACATCCCCCAAAGTGCAGATACAATTAAAAGTTCCTAAATCAACGGATTGAAGGAGCTGAATAGTGGACTGATGAGAGAACTCCTTTGAGGCAAGAGGCCAAGACCCAATCATACAAATAGATTAAATACATCTAACAAAGGTTTTGTTTATTTGCACTTAAAAGAGCATAAAATGACTTCAAAACTTTGGAGCTTAGTTAAGAGTGGACAATAAGAGAGGCATCAATCTAACCTGTTCTGTGATCTATTAGTTTGACTTCAACATAGAGGTTATTTGATAAAAGTGCGATGAAAATACATGATACCAAAGTTTACTATAAGAATTAGGAAGAAAAAGATATTGTGACAACGGAGGATAATGTGGAGCTGTGGTGGAATGCTCAGCTGTTATTTGTGGAGCATTTGGGTGAAGAGAAATTCTAGAACTTCTCTAACAAAACTTAGTTTGGAGATTTCTGATAAGCAACTGGAAATTTTAAGGTTAAAAATTACCAAAATGGGCATGGTTATATTAAATATTGCTATTGGGTGCAAATTTCTCACATTATTGATTTTGATGATTAAGGCTCTTAAAATAATTGCTTTGAGAGTGAAACATGACAGAATATAAACACACTGTCTCATGGCCTTTGAAAACTTTCTCACGTTACCAAAATAGGCATGACTATATTAACCCTTAGTGCAACTTTCTTACATCATTGATTTTAAGGATTAAGACTCTTAAAATTATTGCTTTGAGGGGTAAAACCTGGCAGAATATAAACCCACTGTCTCATGACTTTTGAAAACTGATAACTTGCCCTTCTGTATGTTTGGTTCAATTGATTTTGTTTAAAAAGATATTTTTTGAAAGGTAAATGCAAAAGCGCTGATAAAAAAAACAAAGGTAAATGCAAAAGATTGTATCATTGGAGGAAATATTTCCTCAAAAGTACATTGTAAACCCCATCTAGGGGATAAAGATGTATAGTGAAATTGTTATACATACACTGCTCAAAAACCTTGGAAGTATACTTCTATCTTCATATTGGCATACCTCAAAGAAAAACCATCTTCCCCAATAATTTGATTCCAGTGATTTTATTTGAAAGTTTATAAAAAATGCCTAGAGAAGTGGCTTAATTCGAGATGTGGTGAGGGTTTTGAACTAAAGCATGTGGACCCTTAAAATGGTGTCACATGGAACCGGTTGTATGTGGTAAGCATAAATTTGTGTTTTCAAAAGTAATAAAATGGTGGTTTGTATTCCATCATGTTTTACCTTCCAAAGAAATTATTTTAAGATACCTAACCCTTAAAGACAATAATGTGAAAGGGATGCCCTAAATGCAATATTTAATACAATCATGTCTTTTTTGGAGAATTTCCCAAAATATTATCAATGTGATTAAATTTACAAGATCCTCTCTCAAAAAATGCAAGGATTAGTAAAAGATGAAATATCAAGTAATCAAAATAGGCAAGGGTTAAGGAAGATGACAAGAGTAGAAATTGTGTGGACAATTTGGGAGGAAAAAATGCTAGAATTTTCGAGGAGAAAGAAAGATTGTGGAGGCAGTCGTTGAATGTGTGACTGTTAGGGTGGAGCATTGGATCAAATTACTTGATCTATTTAAAACTTTCTTAACAGAAGATGTTGTTAGAAAATGGGAAGAAGTGGCGAACACAAAATATAAGAAAGAGAAAATTGAACCACCAGAGGGACTTTTGAACTGAACTTTGATGGGAGCAGTTTGGGAAATCTGGGGCCTTCAGGTATAAGGGGGAGTGTTTTGAGTTGTAAAGGGTAATATAAGGGATTTGTTTTCAGGGCCGATAGGGGAAAGCAAATCACTAAGAGCTGAAATTATGGCTGTGATGCAGGGGATAAATAGGCAAATAAAATGAAGATCAAGAAACTTATGGTTGAAGGTGACTCTAAGGTGGTGGGGTGGTTGCAACGTAAAAGGAGGCCCTATGGATCTATATAAATGAATTAAAAAGTTTAAATGGTTAACAACGGAGATGCAGGGGGTAAATAGAAATCAATTATTTTGGACTAAATTGTAACATTATTCCCATGGGGAAGGGAAGCATTGTTCTCTCCTCAATGGTGTATAACACATTGTATATATGTTGTTCATAAGATTTTAATAATAAATTGAAGTTATTTATCAAAAATAAATTCCCTGGGTGTTGGAGGGTTGATATGGCAGTACATTCAGAAGTTGTTATTGGGTGGCTGCATAACAATTCAGATGGCCCAGAGTTTGAGATGCTAAATCACAGAGATGAGATGAGAACCTTGTTTTCATGTGCGCATATCTAATTCAGATGGATCTTTTTTAATCTTTTTAGTAGGAAATTCAGATGAATCTAGAGGCTTGTCAATTAATAGTGGATGTTTTTTGGGTGAGGAGGAATTGCATCAGGACTTTGGGCCAAGATTAACTCTGATGCTGTTGTGAAAAAGAATAAGGGACCATTTGGTCGTGGGAACAAGAGTCTGGAATCGGAATGGCCCATTTCGATTCCAACCATTTGGTTGGGTGGAATTGGAATCCCATTCCCATTCCTGGTCGAATGGCATTCCCCATTTGAGGGAATGGCTGTTCCACCCCTCCCCCCCACCTCTCACTTGGGAATGAGATCTCATTCCAGCTGATTCTAATTCTAATTCTGATTCCCATCTGAACCAAACAGGCTATGGAAATAGACTATTCTGATTCCGATTCCAAGGGATTTCAATTCTTATTCTGATTCCTATTCTAGAAGCAAACCAAACAGACCCTAATTCTGCTTGAAGACTCAGGGCAACCTACTACTGCAAAGTGAAGTATATTGTCAAATCCTCAGTTCTAATAGCTGAAACTAGTGATACATGAGAGAGCAATCTTTGCCAGAAACCGTGTTAAGGTCATAGCAAGTATCTAGCAAGAACTACTACACCTCCATGGCAGATAAAAGACTTGGTGGCGGGTTCTATTCATCTAGTGGATGCTTTCTTTGGGGAGATCAAGTTTGTGCTCACTCCCTGGAGGCAACTACCTGGTGGGTTGGTTTTCCAATGGAGTTCCCACAAAGATAACCATACTTGGACAACTCAATGGCCAGCTTACCCACCAGGGCTTGTTTTAACAGATAGGAAAAGGGTGGCTTTCCCCCATGGTGCATAGTCTTCTTGTCAGGTACTCAAAACGGTTGTACTAAGGCTTAGATTTAGAACTAATATCTTCCATACAAGGGTAAAGTCTATTTTTTTACCGCTTTGCCAGTTATATTGCAAATTTAAGGTTCTCCTTTTTAGATGAGTTTCTGTGAAGGAGATTGTTTAAGCCAAAAAGTACCACTACATTTACTGCAATAATCTAGTCCACTACATTCTTTCTGACTTTTGTGGGGTAGGGAAAAAAAAAGGCAAATAGTATATATAGGGTGTTTTGATGGAATGTCATAACCTTTCTCTCTTGATTTTTGCCCTAGCAAATGTGTTAAGGCTGCATGGGACTGTTGCTGCTTGTGTCATTTATGTGAAATGTTCTAGTTTCATTGTTGGTAATTACCACCTTTATGGTTGAAATCCTAAAACTACCTATTTACTATGTAATAATATGTTCCTAAACTTTTTTGCTGTAATTTATGAGTTTTGCCCAAAAATGAATTCATGCAATTAAATAAAATGCAGAAAATGTTGGCATTAAATTCACAATCTACAGGAAAATCCCACATAAGTTTGCCGTAATATTAGGAGAGATTACTTTCACAAATTGGTTCATTGGCATTCTTTTTTCGGTTGTCTTCTCTATCTATTTCTTGGTCTAATCTGCAGTTTTCTTTAGGGAACTCTCACTGCAATTAGAAACTGGTTCAGAGACTATAAAATCCCAGATGGAAAGCCTGCTAATAAGTTTGGTCTTGGCAACAAGGCAGCCAATAAGGTATGTTAATTTTGATTCCCTTTTTAACTTGTTGCAAGAAATATCTGCTTGAGAGGATCAATAGAAGTTTCTTAACTCATTTTTTTCCATATGTGGGGGTAACTTGCTGGCTAAAAGGGTTTGGATAGTGATCCTAGTATGGAATCTGTTCTGTATAAACTTGACATCAAAGTTCTATTTTTGTCTGCTGTTTTGATGGTTAATTCAATCAGAATAGTGCAAAGTATGGTAGAAATTATTGAGAATTGACGAGCAAAACAGGGAGTGAATAGGCGTGGATTTCTTGGGGTAAAATGGGTTTCCTAACGTATCATAATAGTTAAGGAAGTTAGGACTTTGGAAGTTGGTTTTTATTGGTTCAGGCTATATAATCAGCCTGTTCTTAGGGTGCTAGGCACTGTTTATAGGTATCCATTCTTTTCTCACAACTAATAAAGTTTCGCATGTTATCCATCAAAAATAATTTTGAGAATTGACAGTTTAAGTTGCATTAGATTGTTATGAGAAAGCAACTTTTTTTTTCTGAAAAAAGCTTGAATGACATTGTAACCACCTGCTCTGAAAGCAATTTTATGAGAACACAATTAATTTTTCTTTCTTTTGGTTGAAGTCAATAAAAGAACAGAAGCTACTTTGACTAAAAAAACAGTGCTTAGCTAACTAGGTGTGCAATTGCAATCAGCTTGCACTTGAGAGGACATTTAAAATGGGTTCCAATCTTGGCTCAAGTGGGTCCTATGTATTCAAAAGAAGTAATATTCTGAGAAGTGTTACCAAACTGATTTTTTTTGCTAAAGTAGAAAAATATCATGGTTTACCAAACTCAAATTGATCTGATTATCTGCTCTGGATTAAAACACTGCCTTTGCTTGTGCATAGGTGCTCAATTCTACACTTGAGGCAAAAACAAATCCAAACACAACCTAAGATCATAACATAAGGGAGATTAGACGGTCTAACCCTGAGAAAAATGAGTATATATGCACTTCCAATCAGTATATATAGATGCTAATTGTGTGTCTTGAATGCAAAAATACAGTTTTACTGAAAAATAAAAGGGAAAAGAAATACATGACATCCATCCATCAATTCCTAAAACCATTATATAATTAACAGATATACCTTGCGGATATTTAGCAATTAATCTCACTTGCACAAAAACAAACTACAGTAATTTGTGTGTGCAAATAATTATTGATGTTTTCCGCTAAGCGGACAAATAGTCAGATTTAATTTGAGGCTAGCCTGTAGTTGATAGCTTTCTGACATAGTGACGAGTTATTGTAGTGAGTTCCAATACTGTGGATCTGGCAACCCCTAAAGTTGAAATTTTCAATCACTTAACTCATCTATCTCTAGAATAATCGATTGAATTAGTGTATGTCAAGATAATTTGTTGTTGATATTGATAAGGATTTTTCTCTCTTTCCTGATACGCAGGAATATGCTTTAAAGGTCATCACTGAGACCAACGAGTCTTGGGCCAAATTAGTGAAGAGATCGATACCCTCTGGAGAGCTCTCACTGGTCTGAATTCTGAAATATAATTGGTCAAGCAGGGCTGCAATACTGTTGCTTTATCCTCCCCGTGACCCTGCAGAGAATTTTTGGCCAATGACATTAATGTCTGGACTAGGAAAACAGAATTATTATTTATTACTACTATAGGGCTCTTGTTTTTTCTTCTACTCTAGTGTAATCTTGCTTCTTTGTTATCCATTTTAATAAATTTATAGCAACTTTTTTTGAACTTTAGGAGTGAGACCTTAATTATCATTTTCTTCAGGGGTGTGTTGCCAGGTTAACTGGCATGGGTGGAATATCCAAGTTTCCATGTCATTTGCCATTTGTATTGGTTGATACATATCATGTATCATGTATTATGTATTATGTATCGACATTGGGTTTTTTTGGGTAAAAGTACAAAGACCCCTCATACGTTGCGACAAAGGCCCCCCTCTGTCAGCATTCCATCAGTTAACTTCCGAAAAAGACTTTTATTTGGCTGTTTAAACTTTTTAAGTCCCAAAACTACCCTTTATTATTTGCTTAGATGATTTTATCCTTTTATTTGCATTTTGATAATCCACTGGCTTTCATATGGTTAAAATAGTTGGCGTAAAACATGTACATAGGTTTTTTTCTTTGATAATGGCATAAAAATACATTCTTCTTTGACGATGGTGTAAAAGATGCCAACTTTTTTTGGTATTACTGGATATTCTTCTATATTTGATGACAGCACACCAAATAGCTCTTCGCTGGGGAAATTGTGGCAACAACTTTTGGGAGAAAGCAATGTTGGGTTCTTGTCAAATTGATGGTGCTCTGATGGTATCTTTGTGTAGGTTTGGATTTAGTAGAAAATTAGAAAATGAACGAGGAAATGGCTTTGCTCAGTTTTGTCATTTTGAAAATTTCAGGTTATGCCCTTCGAATTACAAAAGAGGATATTTTAATAATTTAGTACTTTCCATCAGGTTACTTAACGGTCAAGGGGTATTTGTCACAATAGAACTTTGTTCTAAAGGGATATTTGTCACTTATCCATATTACAGAGGATTATTGCAAGGTTCAAAATATTAATATGCCGGTAGAGGCTTATCGGACATTTCGATACTTGTTTTTTTATATTATTTTTGAACTGGTTCAAAGGAACCGGTTTAGGACCCCTCCATCTCCTGAATCGGTCAAACCCCCAATACACCCACTATAGGGGTGTATCGAAAGGGTCCTGGAACGATACGTATCGACCGATATAGATTGATACATAACGATACTTTGAACATTGGATTATTATGATTTACCCTATTTTTAAGTCATATCGGCTATATGGCATATATCACTGAAAACATTAAAACACTTGTAAATTAATCAAATGGCATCATAAAAGTGATAACCAATCACGTAGTTATTTATCAAATACAAGGGGGTTTTGATTGGTGAAAGCCCTTAGCCCTTCCCGTATCATGACTTTCCGGCAGCATGGTTTTTTTTTTTTTTTTCCATGTATACATGCATACTGAATTCATCAAGAAAATTGAAATTTGAAAAATTTCCACTTACTCTTATATTATTGCAATTGCCTACATTCTAATCATAATTAATGCTAACTTGTATTCATAAGTAATGATTAAGTCAAATTAAATACGTCTGGAGAGTTAAAACCAGGTCTCCCACAAGAAATTAAAACAGGCTTTAATTTTTGACTTTCAATCTAAAAGTTTTAACTCTAAAATTGGCATTTCAAGTATTAGTAAAATAAATATTCTCTTCCGGTTCCTAACATTAACATTTTTCAAGTGACAAGTGTATGTTAATGCCATCTTAAAAAATAAAGGAAAATTTTCTTAAATTACCCTTATCATTTAGTTAATTAATTGACTAAATATACACTTACTATTTGACTATTATCTAATACATCTGAGATGAGGTGGGCAGTTAAGATCTGGATTCCATCATCTGAGATGAGGTGGGCAGTTAGGGAGGAGTTTTGAATACAGGTGCATATCTGAGGCAGAGGGCTACCCTGTACCTGTACTAATTTCAACTTTCAAAACCAACACAGCACCGGCTTCAATATCTATCTCTCTCTCCTTAAATCATTGCTTCCCTCAAAACTGCCCAAATCTAGGTATCAAAACACGCTACTTCCTCTTTGGCTCATTCCAAAGAACTTAACATAGATGTAATTGAACCCTCCAAGGTGGAGCTGTCTCTGTAGGGAGACGTCTCTGGTGAGATTGAGGCTCGGAGAGAACCGGTGAAAAGAGGAATAACTCTTCTTGCCATCAAGACGGATTTCCTCTACACCACAGAGTGGAGGTTCTGAGTTTTCATCGGCATATTGGCAGGAGGTGTCGGTAGCTCTCGCATTGGCGCTGGTGTTGGTGTAGAGTTAGGTCTTGGGTTTTTATTGGCAGATTGGTAGGAGGTGCCAATGGCGTAGCGTTGGTGCTGGCGTTAGAGACTTGTCAGAAACAGTTTCTTGTTTTGTCGTTCGATCATTTTCTGCTGGTGGTGAGATCAAAACATGGGTTTGGAGCTCTTTTATCTCCACCTTTTTGGAGGCTTAAAAAACCTAAGCAAACGCTATCTTAGTGCTTAGCGTCATCAATATATTTACAAGATTTATAAAAAATTCCGTAATGTGTCAGTCAATGTGTATCCAGATCCATCCGCCGTGTCAATGCATATCCAAAATTACCTTGCTTGTTGAGAGAAGTGGGGAAAGTGATGGATATCGTATTTTCTCTATACACCACCACCAGAGAGCAATGGTCTTGAAGATTCTTGTACTACTTTTTAGCTGGTTCTCCCTTCTTGTCTCATTTCCGGTCTTAAACTCCTAATGATGATTTGATGCTGGATAGAGAATGACCAGAGAGCGTCGAATCATATTGTATCAATTCTCTTAATTCCCAGGTCAAGGCCCGACTGTTCACAGTTGGAGATTGTTTAGGAGGTAAAATAAATAAATTAGCTTCGCTGCGATGTGTGTACTGTGTATTCCAGACATCTAGTGGGATTTATGCAAACCCAGAACAGGGCTTAGTTGAACCTTTCTTTGATCACTTGTATTTCAACCATTTATCCGTTCCCCCTACATCTGATCTGGTCGAGACTCGAAAGCTCGAAAGAAATATATTTCGTTCTCCGTGTTTTTGTACAACTCATGAAGTATCCACAACAGAAAGTCCAGTACATTCGGGATCGACAGAAATTGGTATATGCTAATATATATATATATACATTATATCTCCTCCTCCTCGTTCTGAGGGTCAGTCAGCAGTTAGGAAGACCAGCAACTGAGTTGAAGGGCCTCTTGAAACCTCTGCTCCAAGGAGGCAGAGGAGGGAGGAGGAGAAGTTTGGGAGTGTTTTTGTTGTTGTTGGACGGGTCCTCGCAAGAAGAGACTAGAAAACCATTTCCCCGCCGAGACGCTCACTTGGAAAGCAGCGGCAGTTTCATCCCCAGCTGACGTCGGAGATGTAGGCGACGATTTGTAGTGGTGGGAAAGAATCAGCATTGCAGCTGTTGGAGACATATTGGAGTGGAAGAGATTGGAAACCCAGAGAGAGAGAGGTATTAGTGTAGTGAGTCAAAAGATAACGCCCCTAACCTTGTTTATATAGTGATGGCATAAGAACAGATTGCAATGGAAAAACTGGCAGTTGAAGCCGCAGCCGCAGGAATAAGTGGGGTTGTTGCTAGTTCACGTTTTTTTAGTAATTCTATGGGTTTATCATTGGAACTATGGGCAGTATTATCATGTTTGAACTTTGAACTTTGAACTTTGAAATGGGGGGAGGATAGAACTGGGAACAGAAGAGAGAGAGAGAGAGTGAGAGGAGAAAGAAAGCGCTTTTCACATCCTGTGGGCATTTATGAAATCCGAAAAACGACCGTGGTTTTGCTTTGCGGATTCCGCAAGAGGACGTCTTCTCATCTCAATTCATTTCATTTTCATCTATATCCTTTTTACTTACCCATACACGTGGTCAATTGGTTTGGTCGGTTCTGTTGTGTCCTAATCCTAATTGCTAGTTGCTACCATGGAGAATGCTAAGGATACAATTAAACTATTTTAAAGATTCTCTTTACTTTTTAGTTTGAGTGGGGAAATAGGAATGAGATCGGAAGCCAAGCTGAAGCTATCATGTTTGACACAGACACATCAACACAAGACTAAACAGAAGTCTAGGCTGGTTATATATGCCTGGTTTAAATTAATGGCATGTCCACAAATCCATCATTGAAAACGAAGGCAACACTGCAATCTTACGAAAAAGGAAACGTTTCTTAAAATCCAAAAATGGCTTCGTTGTACAACTCCTGAAATTATTTCATTTTAGATGATAAAGTTGTGCTCTCAAAATTGTAATGAAAAACTACAAGATATCATTTCATTCAAGTGGTTTCCCAACAATTGGATTGGTTACAATAACAACATGAGAGAGAGAGAGAGAGTGTGTGTTAAATAATCAACATGATGTCAGTTTCTCACAATGTTCATGCTGCTAACCATACAACTTTATCAACAATTTACTAATAGCAGGACAAACTACAATTGGATGAGACTCTTGAAGCAGTATGTACCAAGAAGAAACCAACCAACAAGCAAGATGGTGAAGAAAGCCAGGCCAGTTAGGAAGGTCCAGCCACCCAACATAAGCCCTAAGGTAAGTACTATAACAAATGGTAAATAAGATTTAACAATGGCTGCTTTGTTCACCCAATGGCCCTTGATGAAAATAAGAGCTGCTAAGTTCACAACATTCCAGCAGTTGGTGCCACCATAACCCAACCTGTTGAGGTTATTTGCAACGAAGGAATGGCAGTTGCATATAAAGAGGTTGTACGATCTATGCTGGAATTCCTGTGTGCTCTTCCGTAACGCATCATCCCAGGTCATCCTCTGTCTTACAGGTTCACTATGCTCATATCCATCCTTCCTTTCATATTCATCCCAACAAGCAGAAATGCAGCACTGTTGACCAGTAATTTGTAGAAACAAGCATTAGATATGGCTTGTAATCTAGAAATATTTGCAAACGAGGAAATTAGGAATATTACTAGTCACCTTATCTTTATTTATCTGTAAATACCGAGCTACTGCTCCAAATGCAAAGTGGTCAACACATACAAAATTCGGTCCTGCAAAGTCCAAGATGACACCATCCTCTCTGCATATGCCTATGTGGCCAATGAAAGGTATGAACCATGAAATTAAAGGAAGTGGTGTCCAAACAATGCAGAATGGAAAACGGGCTCTTTGTGGATCAATCTGTAGAATTGGGGTCATGGTTGCCTCAAGCATCAGCTCATTATCTGGTTTGGTGTTTTCTTCCATCTGCTAAAGTTATTGTCTTACCTATGGATAAATGTATCAGATAGAAAGGTGTCAGAAACCAGGTGCAGTCTTTCATGAACAAAAGCACATTTACCTTTAACTTATACCTAATAACAACAAAATGTGATTTCTGGTTATTCCTACAAACACCTTTGCGCTTGACAAACTGACTAACAACATTAAGGCCAATATTTATAAGGGTGAGGACTCGAGAGAAAACATCAGGACCATGTGAGGCATCAAGATGAACCTTGGGGTATTAAAGTATCATTATCCATGGTTTCCATAAAATAAATGGAAGATTACATTTTATAAGGGAAAAAATGTACATAATAAAGCAACCATCAAACAATGAGAACAATAAAATTAAAATAATAAAATCTAATTAAATAAAGGGCAGCCCAGTGCACAAGGCTCCCACCAATGCAGGGTCTGGGGAGGGACAGATGTATGCAGCCTTACCCCTGCACACACAGAGAGGCTGTGTCCAATAAAATATAATTAAACTTATTAAAAAACAAAGTTAAAAGAAGCCAGCAATGCTTCTATTTGGATTGACTATTTAATTTATCCATAATATGGACAACAGTGCTGTTAGTCATCTAGCCATTTCAAAAGGTAATGGCAAATACTTGAATTACTTTAATAGACTTTCCTTTTGTTTTTGTGAGTCCATCAACGTCATAATTCTTGTTCTAGAATTGGAACAACTCTAATCCTTAACTGAATACCTGCATCCATACTACTAAGAATTTCTTTTGAAATTTTATTTGCTTCTGCTTTATTACCATTCCGAAAAATAAACCTGTTTGGTAAACCTCATCAACTATCCAGAGCTTATGAATGTCTCAAGATTTAACAAAGTCTTCCTATACCCCCTAAGGTTGGGAGTTTCTGTTGGGAAGCCTTTCTGGAAAGAGTTAATACATGTGATCTACTTCAAAGAAAAGACCCAACAGTTGTTTGTGTCTTCATTGGTGTATCTCTGCAAAGCTGATGGTGAGTCTGAATATCATTTACTGATTTCCTGTCGATTTACTAAAAGCATTTGGGAATGGTGTACTTCTTTGTTTGGGTGCAGGTGCCCCCCCCCTATGAATGGGCAGAGTTTATTCAGGTTCATGCCTAGTCGGCCGATAAAAAGGGCCAAGGCTATGTGGAGATGTATGAGGGCTGCAGTATGCTGGACTGTTTGGGAGGAGAGGAACTCACAGAAATTCTCAGAAAAGGAGAGAACCTTGGAAGTAATATTGGAGGTAATCCATATTAGGGTGATAAATTGGCTGAAAACTTTGGCCTTGTTTACAGACTTCTCAGTAGATGAGATGGTAAAAAACTAGAAGGAAATTGCAGAATTAGTCTCAGCTAAAAAGGCATCACTCTCTTGCTGGAGTCCCCCATCTAATGGCTTTCTTAAACTAAATTTTGATGGCAGCAGTATGGGTAATCCAGGTTCATCTGGAATAGGGGGAGCAATAAAAGATGAACATGGAAATCTGTTAGCTATGTTTTTAGGACCAATTGGGGAAGGAGACTCCTTGCGGGCTGAGATTCTTGCTGCCCTTGAAGGGGTTCAAAGAGCCAAGGAGATGCAAATTAGAAAGCTGATTATTGAAGGAGATTCTGAAGTGGTGGTGAACTGATTAAAAGAAGATAACTCAAGGATATGGAAGTACAACAATGAAAAACGAAAATTCAAGTGGCTGGCTAAGGATGTTGAAATTCAGTACAAATGGGTTAAGAGAAGTGCAAACTCGCTGGCAGATGGTTTAGCTAGGCAAGGGGTTAATAGAACCTCTTTGTTTTGGGCTTTATTGTAATTGTATTTGATGCTCACAGACTGTTATAGGGAGCTAAGATTGTTTAGCCCCCTTGCTTTGTAATTCTTCTTAATTTTAATGACTATATTTCAGTTATTGATCAAAAAAAAAATGAAATGCATATTCCTATTCATTGTGGTACTTTTCATAACAAATATGCATTAAAGTGTAGTTTTTGTTTAACTAAATTTGGTAGATCATAACTCTTGTTTTCTGCAAATCACCAACTTCTCCCACAACCATTCTCCTTCGGACTTTTGGAGTCAGGCCACCACCACCGCCCTACCACACCTAGTAAGCTTACAATAAGAATTCATTCGGTAAAGGAACTTGATGGAAGCAAAAACAATGCCCAAAAAAACTAGTTTGAGTGCAGAAAAACAGTATTATATATTGCCTTGAGACTTGGGAGGTTTATGTGTATTATCAATATTTTGTAGTTTCTAGGACTTGCAATTATTTTGTGAAATGAGAAGCAGAATTATAATCATGTTTTGTTACTAAGGATACCTCACTAGAAATGCATACTTTGATTCCATAACATAGGATTATTGATGCCTGACCACAGTTACTTAATCACTAGTTGGTACTCCTATTTGTCAACTGTTTGATACAAACCGATTCACAAATCTATTTGTAGTTATTTGCAAAAGCAGATGTAGCCTAATAATAAGATACATTAAAGAAAATTCTAAATCAAGATGTCATTAATTAGAAGGTATGTAAGTACAATTCTTCAAAAGAAGCAAAGCAACATGAAAACCTAAAAAAATAAAAAGCTAAAAGGCAAATTCCTTGTTTTTCTCCTAAAATCTTGTGCACAAGCATGCAACTAAAGAAAGCCTAACCAAAAGGACAAAACATCTACTTAATTAGCTGTTATCTCTACAACATAAAAGGATAAGATACCTAACCTGAGTGTCTCTACTGCATGAAACATGTATACCAAGAAATACATACTCTAGTTAACAAGATTATGGACGTTAAGCCAACCAAAATAGAAGCCTGCCCCTAGCTAAGCCTGTTTGCTGAAGGGATGTGAATAATGAAAGATGAACCTAAACCCAAACCATACAAATAGACAAACCAGGTAACTATGTACTGCACTATGTGGAGCCTCATAATAACATAAATGGAACTCCTTTGACATTTCCCTTTTTGGCAATGGGAAAAAACTTCATTGCTTGTTAAACATAGTTACATCTGTCTCCCCTTGTCTGCAACAAGTCTAAAAAATAATGTTTCATCCAGACTGGTGATGTATTCATGGTGATCCTATCTTCTTGCTTATTTCTCGCTCTATATGCAATTTCATAAGCAATTGTATTGCTTTCTCTATTTACATATATTATATTAAATGCATCAAGAAAAAAAGGCATTAAGCATCTAACATGTTTGAACAGAGCCAGATCCATCCACTGTATACCGCTTCCTGTGTCTTGGATTTTATTAACCATGGCTTCTAAATCAGCAAAAAGTGTCACCTGGCACAAACTTAAAATTTTAACATTTTCCTATTGTATGAGCTATTAATTGCCTTTGTTGAAAACCAAACGTGCATACTGGGACTTATTGTTCATCAACAATTACAACATTGACCTAATAAAAAATTGTTATTTTTCATCATAAAAATGCTTGGATGCATAAAATGATTCTCTTTTCTTTCTCTCACTGTATTACCAAATGTCCATTATTCTGCCCAAGCATGTGTCTTGAAATATTCCAAAGGAAGTATTTCTAGGAGACAGAAAACACATCTTCAAAGTAAATAATATGCAATTGCAGCCCAAGATATCCATTAAGAGAAGCTAAGACCCTGGTATCCAACATGAACTGCACGTTCAGGTGGAATTCAAGATCAGCAAATGATACTCCTGACTCCTAGTTGGGTAAGGGTCTACAAGGGTTGAGATGGAATGAGGAACACCAGGCTTGGGCATAAACTTGTAAAACTGTGTTGAATTATTTGGATATTTGAATGTCAGCCTTTGGCTGTTCTTTACTGACTCATTTTCATTCTAATGTCTTTGGAATGTTGGAATTCTTTTTTCTTCGTTACATTTATCATAGTTTAATAATTGATGATATTGATTAAAAGAATCAGCTAACTATAATGCAGGGATTTTAATGTAATTAAATACTTCCATGACAAGAATGAAGATATCACACCAAGCATGAGAACCTCAGTTTTTTTTTTTTGATAAGTAAGCCTCAGTTTATGTTGTAAATATGACAAATCAAAGAGAAGCTCAACAAATCGGATAAGTTCTTGGGTTGGGCTACTTGGGAGGAACACCATGCATGAACTGCTCAAAAAGAACTTCCTATGCCTATTATAGATCAACACATCAACCACTAGTTTAAATTTGAATATATATGGTTTTTCCTTATTAAATCGTTTTAGGAAAGATCGGTGACATATTTTTCCCTTCATAGGTAACTAGAGATTTATCTTCCCGTAAAGCTCCAAAGGCACTGAAGAAAAAAAAAGAATTGGAGTGGATACACTCTGAGGAGAGTTAGGAAGAAGCTAATAATTAGAAGAAATTTCCAAGAACCATAGAAAATGAGAGGTATCTTCTCAATTCTCTTTTCCTTTCCCTCTTATGACTAAGAACAAAAGCTCTTATTATTAATATAGCGATTCCTCGAGGTTAGTTTTAAAAATATATATATGCATACAGATAGAAATGGAAGTTGATGAGTTTCACAGACAGAAAGAAAAAAGGCTGAATTAATTTAACTCAAAACAATACAATTTTACGACGTGGAGGGAGCTCGCTGTTCAGTCCAGTCAAACTATTTAGGGTTCTCATTATATGTGTAAAATTTGATTATAGCATACGAAGCTTCCTTTAGTGATGTTTGCTTCTGAAATTTGAATTGAAGGTCAGAAGATAAATAAACCCTAGTACATAAACTTCCTCGAAAAGAAACAAACTAGTCAAATAATCGAAACACGTTGGAAAGACAAAGCGATAAGAAGGTTTATTAGAGTACCTGGATGAACTTGGTTCTTGGACGGAAAGTGGCGACTGGCAAGTAGAGACGACGACCCAAGCAGAATTCTTTGAATTACTGGAGAAGGGGTTGCAGATGCACTTCAATGACTGGAGTCGCGGGATCCAATCCGCGAATCTGCAGGCGCTACGTGGTATAGCCGGTGGGCCTCGCGACTCGCGTCCACCCTGCCCAATTTCCACCCTATTGGCCCATTCCGACCCTGTGTCCTGCCAACCTCCGACAGTCTGACCCATTAAATTAATCTCACTATTTTGAGAGACCGTTTGGTTGGGGGAACGGGGATCTGAAATAGGAAATTCTAATTGTTTGGTTGGATGGAAGAATCCATTCCATGCATAATACTATATAGGAGGATGAGATGTTTACGATGTATGGCTGCAATATTATATGGGTAGATGTGAACAGAGTATTTATGGGCAGGAGATATGAACTCTGAATGGAATCGGAATCCCATTCTCATTCCTAGTGGAATGGTCATTTCCTCCCTTCCTTCAAAACGAAATCCCATTCCAACTGATTTCAATTCTCACTCCCATTTCTATCAGAACCGAACATATTATGGTAATAGACCACTCTAATTCTAATTCCAACAAATTTTGATACTGACTATAAACCAAACAGACACTAAATTCTAACATTCAAAAAGAAAATATCGATATAGCCACCCATTAGAGGTGTTAGCACTTACACCACTGAATGTCTAGATTTCAACACTTTGCCCCCTCCTCTTGATGTGTTGACATAACAGTGAAAATAAAATTATCAATTTTCCCAGTCGAGATTTCAAGGGATGAATCTTTTGATAACAATAAATATCAAAATAATGAAAATAACCATTCTAAAGCACAAAAACATTCTAAAGTATTCTCAAGATGAACTTATCAAAATTAACCCAATAGATACCTACAAACCGGTTCAACCAATTTAAATTAACCAAATAGGTGATTCAACCTGCTTCCAACTCGCTAAAGGGTTTGGACGAATTATAAATGAGTGAATTGGGGTGTTCAACACACACATACATATATATATATATATATATATATATATATATATATATATATACGTATATTTATTGTTATCACCCATAGGGCTGATAACATTTAAACAACAAATTTAAAGTTCTCAAAATGAACTTTGTTGAAAGAAAGTTGATATAAACATGTGAGAATTAGGATTAAAAAATTAAATTAAAAGGAAAAAATGGTCTCATAAAATAGCTTTAGGGTAATTTAGAGTTTTAGGAATGTTTAATTTAATATTCTATGAAGTTACATTGATGGCAAGCCCGTGTCCATGTGTGTTTGGAGTATTGCTCTATTGTTCTTTTTTGTATTGGCATGTGTGTCACTTTATGACTCCATGCCTCACTTTATGATTTCAGCTTCCATGAAATGAGTGTTAAGCAGTTTATGTATGCCCTTAGCTTCAATCTAATTTGATGTACTTTTGTTATTTAATGGAAATAAATAAAGTGCATGTTTGATTCATGTTGTTTGGTTTAATTCTGTGTAAAACCCTAAAACTGGACATTTGTAGAGACTCA